ATTCAAGTATTTAATGCATACATTGTCCAGAGAGAAAGACAGGACGATGGAAGGAAGGAAAGAAGGAAAAGAGAAAGAGACAGAAATGAGGAAAGAGAATAATCATAGATTGTATCAATCAGGATTCTTGGTTACAAGCAATAAAAACCTATTGATTTACTTTAAAGCAGCAAATGATTTTATCCAAGGACAATGGATAGTTCACAGAAGCACTTAGAGAGCTAGAGAACCACTTGGGACCCAGGTGAGATCAGGAAAACATCAGCCAGACTGGAGCCAAAAGCACAACCATCACCTGCATGGTGGGCCCTCTGCTGCAGACCCGGATGCGAAGCCCTGCACTGTCACTGGTGCTGCTGGTGCTGCTGTGCCTGGAAACCGGCCCTTCCTGCTGCTGCTGCCACTCCTGCCAGGATTAATTCTCCTCTGTCTCTGCTTCTTTGTGTCACAAGCTCCCAATACAAAGGCCATCTGATTAATCATGTGCCCATGAACTAGACAGAAGGCTGAGGAAGCAGGATATGGTGTCTTGAGCTTCTATGTGGAAGGTGGACTGTGCCACCTTCAAGGTGGGGATATTCCCAAAATATTTGGTAAATGCTGGGGAACTCCCCCAAATCTAACTCTTTGGTTCCTAACATCAAGGCATACCCAACTTTCCATAATTACACTCGAAAAAAATGCTTACACTTCACTGTTCTAAAATCTGTACCCAGGATTTGTTTAATCAAGTATAGTAAGATGTGCAAACAGCAGAATGATTGTCATGAAAAAATGATTGTCAGAGGTCTGTAGACGCGGGAGTCATGACAGGCCATGCAGGGTCACATGGGGAAGCACCAGGGCCAGCCAAGGGCAGAAAGGGCAAAGAAAGTAGGGCCCAGAGTATTTATTGGAGTTTCTATAGTAAAGACAAGGCAGAACAGGGTAAGCAGCTTAGGACTGGATAGTTTGAATAATGTTGGCAAGCTGTGAGCATTAAGATGATCTCTAGTTGTTCTGTACCTGTCCCTGGGGTGATTTAGTGCAGAGGGAATATTGGCTTGGTGTGTGAGAGAGAGAGAAAGGAGGTGGTTGGGGCTGTTGATCAGGATTGGTTGGAGGATTTGTAATGTAATTTTTGCATGCCCATAAAAGCTGGGTCACAGGGGAGACATAAACAACTTTGGCCATTCATTTGGTCCTGTGAGTAATGGATGCCAAACAGGCAAATACAGAATCTAAGAAAGTGCAGTTAGAACACCAACACAAGACAACCATTCCTCACAGAAATAAAAGTGCTCATCCTAACCCCTAAGCCTCATCAGTGACTCAGTCCAGCTTCATTCTAGCCTCTCTGGGCAACGCCCATTCTTGTTCCACTCCTGGCACGATGTCATCTTGAAATTACATTTCCTATGGAGTAAATGATGAAGTTTATCAAAAGCACACTGCCTATGAAAGTAATAGGGTGGGCATAAAATAAAACAAATTAACAAAGTAAAGAAAAAAATATAGTCAGGGAACAGCCCTCATTGTTGTAAAAGATCGTTAGGTTAGAGTCATTATTTATAGCTTTTCCCTCCACCCATTCTCCAGAAGCAGCATCTCTTCCATAAAAGACAAATTGTTATCCCCTCTATCATGGAAGGGATTTGATGTAATCAACTTGTCACCAGGGGAATAATTTGAGCCTCAGGTCTTGGGCACCCTATCTGGAGCTGAGTGTTTGTTGCTGGGGCTGGGGAGTTGGTCATTTGGCAGTGGCAACAATAGGGATCACATTGGGAACAGCATGTGTAATAGGAGTCACCAAATTAAATTTACAGCAACCCATTGTCATTCTATAAAGACCTATCCCTCTTAGGTAGAGCTGGGTGGTAACCAAAATGGCCATCTCTGCATTGTTCTGGTCTTTGATGGTGGTCCTAACCCTTGTCACTCCTCAAAGGCATGGTATTGATTTTATCTATTGTTTTATTATGAAGGCTCCCACTCGGTTCTTCCTGCCAAGACTGATAATGATGTGTCATGTACTGAGAAGTTTCCTTAACACAAATCTCAGCACCTAAGGTCCAACCCCCCCCACCCCTCTCTCTCTTTCTTTCTATATATCTAATATGTCTTTCTTGATTTCAGAGAGAAGAAGGGAGAGGGAGAGGGAGACAGAAACATCAGTGATGACAGAGTCATTGATTGGCTGCCTCCTGCATGGCCCCTGCTGGGGATCCAGCCTGCAACCAGGGCATGTGCCCTGACCAGGAATCAAACCTCGATCTCCTGGGTCATAGGTCGATGATGCTCAACCACTGAGCCACACTGGCGGGGCCATTCCAACACTTTTATTTCCCCAAGTCTTCCATTCTGTTGTACAAATTTCTGGTATCTCATTGTCACTTTGCAAGGACTACAAATTGAACAAACAGTACCACCCTGTGATGGTTAATTTTATGTGTCAACTTGACTGCCCTAAAGGATGCCCAAGATAACTGGAAAAAACATTCTTTCTAGGTTTGTCTATGAGGGTTTCTCTGGAAGAGATTACCACTTGAATCAGTAGACTGAGTAAAGAAGACCTCCCTCGCCACTGAGGTAGGCACCATCCAATCTTTTGGGGGCCTGGATAGAACAAAAAGGTGCAAGAAAGATGAATTCACTCCTTCTGCCTGAGCCGGGACCTGTTTTCTCCTGACTTTGGACACCAGTGCTCCTGCTTTTCAGGCTTCTGGACTCAGATCAAGACTTAGAGCATTGGCTCCCACCCCTAATTCTCAGGCCTTTGGACTCCAAGGGAACTATACCACCACCTTTCCTGGTACTCCAGCTTGCAGACGGCAGATCATGGGGCTTCTCAGCCTCCATAACCATGTGAGCCAATTCCTAAGATAAATCTCATCCTATCATCTATCTATCTATCATCTATCTATCATCTATCTATCTATCTATCTATCTATCTATCTATCTATCTATCTATCTATCATCTATCTATCTATCATCTGTCATCATCTATCTATCTATAATCATCTATCAATCTATCATCATCTATCTATCTGTCTCCTGGAGAACCCTAATACACCCCCAGTGGTTCAAACTTGTAGACTGAACCAAAATCTCTCAAAAGCACATCCCCATTAGCCAGCCAAATCTTATTTCAACTTTCTGTCCTTGGTCTAGTACTTTGAGAATCCATTTCTATGCATGTTTACCAGATCGTGGCCATAAATGAGCAGTTTGGGGGTGTTTGTGCCCCTTGCTAAGTTTGTTGTTCCTGGAGCTTGCTTGCTGGGGTATGCGGGGGGGCCTGTTTCTGGTTCATTTCCAGAGGCAGAGAGGGGTGGTTAAGATGGAGAATAAAGTTCGATTCCTGGTGTGTGATAAATCCTTCAGGTGAGGGTGTTGTAAGTAAGGTAAGGTGAGGTCTTAAGGGTAGACCCCTCACGATGGGATTAGTGTTCTTATAAGGGGGGACACCAGAGGCCTTGCCCTGCTGCCTGCGCGCGCAGACAAGAGGTCACAGGAGCGCCCAGTGGCCGGTTCACCAGTCGCTGCCTGCAGGCCAAGAGAAGGGGCCCAGAACCAGACCTGCCTGGCCAGCACCTTGACCTTGGACTTGCCAGACTCCAGAGCTGGGAGAAGTACATTTAAGCCACCCAGTTTATGGCCCGTCTCTGGACGTCGTCACAACCGGGAGGAGGCCTTCCACATAGGAAGGAGAGGGGGACACGGACACAGCTAGGTTTGGGGACACACTCCAGCCAAGTGACCCACCTGGCCAACGCCCCCCCACGCACGCGCACACACGCACGCACACACGCACGCACACGCACACACGCATTTAAAGGGTCGTGCGAGGCCTCTGGCTCGTTTTCAGGCTCCCTTCCCTCCAGAGCAGCCCGGACTGGTGAAAGTGGCAAATTCAAAGCCAGTGAAGCAGCCAGCATGTCCCGGAGTTTGAGGCCGTCTCTTCGAGGAGCTGCTGTGGGAGCGCGGAGGTATTTGGACTTCAATTTTAGGGACCAGGAGTCTCAGGCGCCGGGAAGCAGAGGAAACAGACCGCGCGGGGGCGGGTGCACCGGGGGAGCCTCGGGTGGGACGCGACCCAGGCGAGACCAGGCGGGGGCGAGAGCGAGA